ACGCCACGCCACGCCACGCCACGCCACGCTCAGCACAGTGTCTGTCTCCCCTTGGAAACTGGGAGTGGCTATTTCGCACAACTTTGGAGGACGGACGGTGGGTGTTGAGTTTCAAAGGATCCCGCGCTCCCCCTGGCTGCTGCTTTTCAGACGCTTTCCAGCTCCAAACCTTCCAACTGTCGACGCACCTTAACCCCATTCCCACCGTAAATTTTATATTTATTGTATTTATACCTCAGTTCGTGGCGAAGATGCGCTCCCAAAGTATTTTCTTCCAATGAGCACAATGAAAACACAACAAATCTGTCATAAAACACGCAACAGTTGCCGGGACAGAAGAGCAAAAGTTGGTAATGGCAGCAATCCGGAACTGTATTCTCTGGACTGCAATTCTCAGGACTCCTTGGAGGAAATATTGCTACAGAAAGACGTTGTGTAATAGGAACCTTATGGATTGCTCTTTGGGGACATGATGTACAAAGAAGCTTTATAAATATTGGTAAAGTGCCAAAGTATATTTGAAATGTATTTTTTAATGCAACTTCCTTAGCCTGTTTTAGTTTAACTTCATGCCAAGCGTGCAACTGAGGAATTCAGAGCTTCCTTAGATTACAGTCTTCCTAATTACTAGAAGTCCAACCTCTATTTTGCTCCTTCTGCCACGTTATCCCTATTGTCAATCCCCTATATATTTATAGGTAGCCAGAACAGATGATTATAAACCACCACTAGCAAAGACCACATGCCAGATAGCTTTCTGTGTGTGGCTTGCTCTATACTTACAAGCTAAATATGCTCTGAAGATCTGTCCTGACATGGAAGAAACAATCACAATCATGCCCTTTGTTTCAAGCAAGCTCAGAGAAAGTTGATTCATTAATGAACTTTGCTAGGCTAAACAACTTGGTCTCTTAGCTTCCTAATCAGGGCAGTGACGCTTTGGGAAATTCTAGTCTTGCCTCAAGCCAGCTGGGTGACCTTGGACCAGTCACACTCACTTAGCCCTAGGAAGGAAGCAAGGAAAAACTGCTTCTGAAATCTTGCTAAGAAAACTGCAGGGACTTGTCCAGGAAGTCACCAGGAGTCAAGACAGACTCAAAGGTAGCAATCCCCCCCCCCCCCAAAAGAAGCAGCTCATACCACAAATAAGTTGAATTGGTATTTGCATCTGGATCTAACTAAGCATTTCATATAAAGCAGCAGTCACATGATTGGCTCAATCCCTGCTACAATGTATGAAAGCTGCAGTTCCTTGACTCAGCAGCCATAAGCATGAGACAAGTTAAATAGGACTCTTTGATTACAAATTTATTTTCAGTACACATATAGTTTCCATATAATAACTTTAGAAAGTATATAATTTTTAATTGATTTTTTTCAGAACTTCTGATATTCTTTAGGCAATAGGCCCCTTATTTTAGACACTTTGAGAAAGACATATAGTCATGCCAATCTGCATGAAATAAACTCTTGCCATTATGTTTCCTTAATGACTTTAATTTATGCATCATTTTTCCCGTTAAGGTTGAAGGCCAAACTGTCAGGCCAAAGCTTTAATAAAACACCCGATTATGCACATGTCCTCATTTGCCTCCCATTGCAGATGCCTATGATCACAACTTATCTTCTGTTAGTAATACAAGCAATTTTCATCAATATCAGCCCTAATAAATCAACTTCAGTTGCTTCACAATTGCTTTGACAAGCTGAAAGCTGTTTCCAGTGAACACCTTTGAACTGAGCATTTCTCTGGGCATTGTTTTGCATCTTTTGAAGTGAACTGGTACCAATTCAATGTTGCCTAGTGTTCATCTGTTGGTTGTACAATACGGTCAGCCCATTGCTATTTGGTCGGAGTTTCTCTTTGGAAGTAATAAGTGTGAGTCCCTGATTACCAATTGATGGTTGTTCTTCATTTTTTAGTTTCACTGGTTTGTTTCTGTATTTTGTTTTCTGGTTTATTATATGCTGCCCAGAGTCATAGTGTTCAAGCTGGGCATTCAGATAAATGCCTTAAATAAATAATAAATTTCCATAAGGCAACCTAGTTCATCATGTCATATACACCTACCCGTTGACATATCTATATATTCCTTTTCATGTCATGCTGTGTTATGTTAAACATGTATTGTTCCATCCTTTTTTGTATATATCTTTCAACTTCTGTACTGCTTTTGCATTAATGTCCAATTTTCACAACGATTTGTCAGCACAGGTAGTATAAGAATTTCCTCTTTAAAGAGGTTGGTATGTTACTACCTAGTTAAGTTTGGTTCAAACTTTCTTCTATGATTTCATTTTTTTTTTTTTAACCTGCACTCAGTCGTTACCGACTCTGCAGTGACTGCTTTTGGACGAGTCCTTTGCAGTTTTCAAGGCAAGGGTTTTCGGAAGTGGTTTGCCAGTGCCTCCTTCCTAGAGCAGAGCCCAGCTGGCGAGTGCAGGAGGCGGGGTTTCCGTTGCTTCGTGCCTTTTTGGGGCGAGTGCGGCCTCCGTGCTTCCCGCGACCTCTCCCGCCTCCTTTTTGCCAGGCGGCCGCTCCCCCCCGCGGGGGCTGCCCCACATCATCACCCCACGT